GGGGATGGAAACTTTAGGAAGTTAACCAAGAAGATGGGCCAGGACCAACAAAAGTCCATTGAAAAAGAAGTAATTGGAATTTGAGAAGCCTTGACAGGTTGCACACCTCTAACAAGGAACATTGTTATTCTTTTTACTTCATTGCTCTTCTCTACATAATATTCACTGAAATGATATTGAAGATTACGTCAGTTGGAGTTAAGTCAGAGAAGCAGAATCCTTGAATGATATGGGGTAATGGATTTATTGCCAGGATTAGATCTTGTACAGTTGTGGGAGAAACTGGGAAAGCAACATTCCACAAGGGGATGATTGACTGAATAGAAAAGCTTCTAACCGGGGCCCATGGAATGGAGCTAGTGAAGATGTCTATGCAAGTCCCTTGCCTCTCCATCCGAACAGGGCCAGAAGTATGTCAGCAGGGCAGATGATAAAGAGGAAGTTGTCAATAGGAAAGCTGCATGCAAAGCAGGAGAGAACAAAGACAAATGAAACTCACAAGGGAAAACTGGAATCCACAGAGATGCACAGGCCAGTGTATCTGTCTCTCACTGATTGGAACCTCAAAGCTGCGATGTCCTGCCGAAGGAGCCAGTGCTCTCGCTGCAGAACTTCATGTGTGCCCAGCCTGGCTCCAAGAACGTGTGGCAGAAGAACCATCAAGAACTGGAGAAGCTGTGGGGCCAGCTGCTACTCCACACCCATGTGATAAGCAATGGCGTGCGTGACCTGCCCAAGCCCTGCACCACCTTCCTCACATAAAGTCTCTGACTGCACTTCCGCCCTGTGAATCTCAAGGACATTTCTCTGTGGCCAGCCCTAATCCAGAACCTTTCAGAGAAATATAACTTAAGCTTAACTAACTTTTGACATAGACTGTAACAGAGGCATAGAAAGCAAAAACAGCAACAACAACAACAAAAAAAAAAACTATAGAGATGAGATAATTCCATCTTTTCTTTAGAAAGATGTAAAAACCAGGGTGAGGAGAGATAATGGCTTCTCTGATGTAATAGAGCTAGTGACAGGCCTAGAAACTCAATTCTGTGTGTGTCTCTCTAGGTGATATCACAGAAGAAACAAACAAACAAACTCTGAATGTGAGATTCATACACTATCTTCCTATAGTCCAAGCCACTCAGGAGGTTTGCTTAAGCCTAAAAATTTGAGTCCATCCTGGCAACATAGCAAGACTCCATCTCTAATGTATTTAAAAATTTAAAAATAAATCCTAAAAGCAAAGACACCTGAGTTTTTGCCTTAATTGATTGCTTCGGCCTTGGGGAAAAAAAATCACTCGATTTCTGGACTCATGTTTTCTATAAGTGAATGGCATATAGGCTAGGCGCAACAAATTGGAAGTGATCACTTAATATCTGATGAATAAACGAACGAACACAATCTCTCAAGAACCACTATTTCACACAATTATTTCACTGCCTAACATTTTAAAAAATGAAACCATGAGGCTGGGCGCAGTGGCTCACGCCTGTAATCCCAGCACTTTGGGAGGCCAAGGTGGGAGGATCACGAGGTCAGGAGATCAAGACCATCCTGGCTAACACAGTGAAACCCGTCTCTACTAAAAATCAAAAACATTAGCCGAGTGTGGTGGTGGGTACCTGTAGTCCCAGCTACTCAGGAGGCTGAAGCAGGAGAATGGCGTGAACCCAGGAGGCAGAGCTTGCAATGAGCCGAGATCGCGCCACTGCACTTCAGCCTGGGTGACATAGAGAGACTCCATCTCAAAAAAAAAAAAGAGAAAAAAAATGAAATCATGCTCCTGGACCTCAATAGCAAGGCATTCTTGTAGGTTCTCATGAAATTTATCTGGGGCTAGTATGGGGCATCTGGGCCCTTTTTCCTTTGCGCAAGTCAGATTTCCAGTCTCTCAGCCATGTAACAATTAGACTTTCTCCTCATCCCACTGTGACTCCTTTTTTATGTATTCAGTCTGGGCTTTTCAGTAGGAGTCAAGTACTACATAGCTGGAAAAACAAGAGATTCTGGAAAAGCAGTTACAGGGAGAAGCTAAAAGAATATCAGATTTCTAGTTATGTATTTTGATGGTTAGCTCATGAATTTGAAATCAGCGTTTAGCAGGAATGACCTATCTCTGCTGATGTGACATTAGCTGGGATGGCTCAAAGGCCTGGAGTTGAAATAATCTAAAGTCTACCTACTTTCAGTGAGGATAGTTGGATCCATATAGTGTCTCTGCTTCCTCATGGCATGGTTGTTGGGTGCAAGAGCGAGCCTCCCAAGAAGACCAGGCACAAACTGTATCACCTTTTATCACATGGACTGCAAAGTTATATAGCATCATTTCTACCATAGTCATAGGCCTCTCAGATTCAAGAGGCAGAACAGTTGACCCTTGAACAATGTGAGGGTAAGTGGTGACTATCCCCAATGCAGTCAGAAATCCAGGTATAACTTTTGACTCCCCAGGTACTTAACTGCTAATAGCCTACTATTGACTGGAAGCCTTACAGATAACATAGAAGATTGATTAACACATATTTTGTATGTTACATGTATTATATGCTGTATTCTTACAATAAAGTAAGCTAGAGAAAGAAAATGTTACTAAGAAAACCATAAGGAAGAGAAAATATATTTACTGTTCATGAGATGGAAGTGGATTATCATAAAGGTCTTCATCTTTATTGTCTTCACATTGAGTGGGCTGAGGAGGAGGAGGAAGGGAGGTAGGTATATTTTCTCAGGGGTGGTAGAGGTGGAGGAAGTAGAAGAGGAAGCAGAAGAGGCAGGCATGCTCTGCTTAACTTTTACTGAAAAAAATCCACCTATAAGTAGACCTGTGCAGCTCAAAGCTGTGTTGCTCAAGGAATAACTGTGGATCCCATTTCCCAATGAAGGGAGTATCATTATTACATTGTGAGAAGAACTGTGGGATGGAAAGCGCATTGCATGCCATCTTGGAAGACACAGTGTGCCACAAGCACTGATAGTATGCATGGTGTGTTCATAAACACAGAGCTTGTCAACTAAATGAGCTCTTGTTCAACAATAACCCCAGAGAATATGTTTGTGCACACTTATATAAATACATACACATATACATACATAATAAGTACTTAGTGAATAAGGCTAATTCTTGGATTCACCTTGCTTCCAAGACATTTTCCGTGCTATGCCTAAGGGTAAGGGCAGAGAATTGGGCCACACAATTAATTTAAACTAAAAGTGTTTCATTGTCACCGTCCCCCCTACCTTTTTTTTTTTTCTGGGAAAATAAATTAGGCTGCTGAGTTTTGGACCTAAATCATTTCCATGGTAATAGAGCCTAATATGCTAAAAGGCAGATTATAGTTCCCTCTAATATTTGAAATATCGGTATATGGTCTGCATGGCCGAAGCAGGCAGATCACGAGGTCAGGAGATCGAGACCATCCTGGCTAACACGGTGAAACTCTGTCTCTACTAAAAATACAAAAAATTAGCTGAGTGTAGTGGCACGCACCTATAGTCCCAGCTACTCGGGAGACTGAGGCAAGAGAATCACCTGAACCCGGGAGGTGGAATCGCGCCACTGCACTCCAACCTGGGTGACAGAGCAAGACTCCATCTCAAACAAACAAACAAACAAACAAAAGTACACTTAGCAGAGAATAACATTGTCATTTACCCACACACACACAAACACACACACTCATACACACACACTCATACACACACACACATATATTTATACACACTCACGCAAGAAACATGAGTGTTAAACAAATTTCATAATTTATATTAAATGATTTAAAGTATGGGGGAAATGTGTAGGAATGACACCGTTCAGCCTGGTCTTCTCGGATCTGCATTAAGTCAAATTTTCTTGTTTTGATTTTTGATCGATTGGTTGACTTTAGAAATATTCTGATCATGTAAAGCCTGGGGGAAAAAAGTCAACAATCGCAGATACAGAAGTGAGAATAATTACGATCTCCTTTTCTACTGGGAACTGTCTTACTAGTGAGATCTGTATCACGTAGGCTAGGAGAGCAGGGAGGTTAGGTGGGTGACTTCCATTGGGGTTCTTTCTTGTCCTGCCACGTACACACCCACTTCCATTTCCTACTGCCATGAGAAACACCTCATTTGATGTTCTATGCAACTTGCCAGTGAGTGATTTTCAATTTTTTTTATGTTGTTAAAACAAAATAACTACAGGGGAATTTATTTCTAGGACATAAAATTAAGTCACGGATTTAATCAGATATATGTGAGCTATTATGTATATTCCATGTCTCTTCTCCGTTTACTATATTGCTCTCTGAATGTTTCCAAGAAACTCTTTACACACAGAAGTTCTCTCAAAACAAAAAAGGGACTATGCATACATTTTACTTTTGAGGTGGCATTTACTTATTCAATAATAGCTACACAATTAAATGTTATGTTGACCTTGTGTCACTGTCAACTAGTTACTTTTTGTTTCTGTTGCATTTCCAAGTGTGTTAAACTAAAAGCAAGTGGCTTCATGCCAATTAAGCTACATGGAAGCTTTTTAGGCCTTGTTCAAATACTAACAGGTTTGATAAATATATTTGTCTAGGAAGAGTAGGACAAAGAGCTCTTTGTTTACTGACATACTTTATTGTCATTCTGCTGTATACCTCTCGTGTGGCTGTTTTATAGGACATAAAGTCTAGGTATCCTGTCGGAATCTCAGATCTTATTTATAGCTTGCTGCAAAGTGGCTTATTGTCATTTATTATTTCTTATTTGATTTATATAGCATCTTTCCACCAAAGAGCCCATAGGTTTATTTATATACAGAGTACACACACACACACACACACACACACACACAGTCACATCCTTATACACATCCTTGAACTTCACTCAATGCTATGATGTAGATAGCAGTATAGAACCAAAAATCTGTATGAGGCCTTTCCATTTGTTTTTGTTCTAAGACGACGTGCTGGGAGGACAGTTGCCATTTTTTGTTTTCACTTTGAGTGTTTATCTTTTGCCTCTAGGTGGATCGGATCATTTTCTGTGTCTTCTTAGAAGTTGACTTCAAAATCTACAAAAAGAAAATGAGTGAATTTTTCTCTGTAGGTGAGTAAAGCTACTTCTTGTTTCCTTTCAAATTGAGGATTGAAGAAGTGAGCCATCACTTCTATTCCTGTTGTTTTTCATCTTCAGGACTATTACATACCGTCACCCCTGCCAACTTGTATCATAGTTTTTAAGAACTGAACAAGGTGACAGAAAATCTAGGCTGTGGAACTCTTACCCCCAGAGGTTACTGTGTTGTCTTGGGGAAATCAGTTCATCTCTTGGGTCTCGGTGCTTCACATCAAAACTGAGGGGCTAATTATTAATAAATGATTTCTAAAGATGCTTCCCCTGGCCCCAAATTACATGATCTGTGATTCCTTCTCCAACTTGTAAGTTTGCCGGGCCCCATGCCTGCATCTACCCTGTTAAATACCATTGTTGGAAATTGTAAGCCCGTTTATGTTCATAGTCAGAATTCTAACTGTTCCTGCATTCCATCCCTATTCCTTCCCCAGTTTCTCACTCCAAATTTCAATGCCTATAGCAGCACTTCTAGGGCAGTCTGAGAATAGCAGTCATTCACACTTCTTTTTAGAAAATAGGATAAACCTCGGGGTTATTAGAGAACCTTAAGTAATGTATTTACATCGATTGAATGTGCCATTAGTTGGATTTGGGTAATTTGAATATTTTCCTCCACTCTTCCTCTTCTAGCCTATTAAGGCTGAGGCTTGTTTAATGCCTTGTTATTTTTATGGTGCCATTAAAGTCACAGTGTCCAAAGTGCTTTCCTTAGCCATGGCAAGAATTGCTTCCAGGAAATTTCAAGCTACAGTGAGCATTGTTGGTACTTGCCTTTCAGTGAGCTTTCTTTTGAGGTTTCCATCTCCATCTGAAGTAGTTTGTCATATCACAGGTGACTCTGGCAGGTGGAAAGGAGTGAATAAAGAGTGCTGATGCACATTCATCCTCTTAAGCCATCTATCAGAGCCAAACAGTAAACAGGATGCCTTGCCTGTAGATCAGAGTAGGATGCGTTCTATCCAGAACAGCTGTAGAAAACCAAAAAACCAATAGAGATGGTCAGCTCTCTGCTAATGCCCTAAGTGGACTAAGTTCTTCTAAGTAATTTGAAGTTCTTCTCCCTAATTTTATAATTGAAAGGTGAATCTGCTAAGTGCATTTAATTTAAGGCTTTTACTAAAGTATTTCTCGAACTGAAACATAATGTAAATTCCTCAGATTCCCATGTGATAAAGAACTGGACTGTGGTTATAATCTTTTTCTCCTCCTCTTCTTTCTCTTCCTCCTCCTCCTCCTTCTCCTTCTTTCCCCTTTCTTCATTTTTTTCAAGCATCTCAGTGTTCTTCAGAGTGGACGCACTTAACAGCTATTTGATAAGTAGTTGTTGAGACGAGTTGAATTAAATAAATTTTTCTTGCTGTAATCTGATGACTTTTTGTTTCAATGTCCTTGTTTCATTTTTCCTTTTGATTTGCTTTATAACAATATTGAGCTGATTGGTGCCTGTATTTTTAAGTATTATTAAAAGTAAATGTTAATTATATTTTTAAATGTGACTTCCTATGATGTATGAAGCAAATATTCTCATGTCTTGTCAGTATTACATCATAATTGATAAGATTTTATAAATTTTAGACTCCTTGAGATATTCGGAAATAATGACATCGTATTCATTCTCATGTCTTCTAAAAAATGTCTGCAGGAAGCCATACTAACATAAGATAAAAAATAATTGCATAATTATGATCTATTGATATTGAAACAAATGTTTCTATCAGCAGGTATTTCCAATGATGCAGAGTCAAAAAGCACACTGCAAATTTAAAAGAAAATGAGACAGTTTTAGGAGTGTAATATATTAATAATTATACAAACAAATTATTGTTTGAAAAATTGCTACTTTAAATAAATTTTAAAATGCATTGCAGTGCATGAGCAAGTGAAATAATGAAATCATCCTCAATCTCACATCAATGCTTTGAAACACACAGTGCTCAGGAAATTATTGTCAGTCCATATTTACAATAGTAAGTACATTTTAAACTAAATGTAAAAATCCTCAAAAATTGTGGAGTATTTCTGCAATGTTGAAGCATTAGGTATTTGAAAATTCTAAATATGCAACATGAAATAAGGGTGATGTATAATGGAATGTGACTACTAATGTAGATAATATACTTCACCTGTCATTAATTTGAACTTGTGTTTAATTCATAACTATATGATCTTTAAATATAATAATGGTTAATAATAATCATAATTAATATATTAAATAATAACAATAATAATGGTTACTAATAATGCAAACATTTTTTAATTGCTTTCGATTAGACGGCCACAGCGTTCCTTTCTTTACATGGGTAAATCATTAATCTTCATGATCACTCTAAGAAAGGAGGCACTGCATTAACCCTGTGCTGTGGTTCCATTGTTAGGGTTTTTTCTAATTTGGTCTTATGGTTTCTCTCTCTTGAGAATGGCCGTAAGCCAGGATAGCCACTCTCCAGGAGAGCTTTGAAAAGGGTTGGGGGAAAAGTTAGGATATGTGTGTCAGGGGAGACACAGTGAGGAAGTAGAACTAAAATGCCCAAAACAGAAGGCATTTATTACTCACAGGTAGACAGGTGAGGGATGCCCACAGGAGACCAACAGGAAGCCTGGAGGTGGCAGGGAGCCCAGCCAGCAAGGGGGGAGCAAGAGAGAGCGAGCACCTGGGGACTGTCTTTATTAGGTCCGTATGCACCACCCCTTAGGCTTTCCCATGGGGATTGTGGATTGGCTAGTTTAAAGAAAACACTCAGGAAGCAGGAACTTACTTTGATGATTCTGACACTATTAGATTTTTACCATGATCAGCAGTTGTGGAGTGTATTGGGTTTGGGGTCAGCTAGATGAAGAACAAGTGGAACATATCACAAACAATCACACAGGGAGGGAAGTTTTAGTAGGCCAAAGGTGACAGGATACAACTGGCTTTCAAACAACTTCTGTTAGGCCTAAGCATGGATGCTGGCCAGGCGCACAGTGACTCATACCTGTAGAAGGAGGATTGCTTGAATCCAGGAATTTGAGGCTAGCCTGGGTGACATAGTAAGAACTTGTCTCTACAAAAAAATAAAAATACAAATTAGCTGGGATTGGTGGTTCATGCCTATAGTCCCAGCTACTCAGGAGGCTGAGGTGGGAGAATCACTTGAGCTCAGGGGTTTGAGGCACAGTTGGCTATGACTGCACTGCTGAACTCCAGCCTGGGTGACAAATCAAGACCCCATCTATAAAAAATATAAATAAAGAAGTAAATAAATAAATAGGTAAATAAATATTGTAGAGATTTTAAAACCAAAAGGAAAAAAAATGGATGCCAAGGCAGCAACCATATTGAATAAATTTATGATACCCTATGTTTTAGGCATGAAAAACGAGGATTCAGCTAGGAAGCAACAGAGCTGTATTTTAAAATTGAGAATGGCATCTGTCATTGCCAAAGTGATAATAGGTTCGTTTTCTCAGAGCATCTTTAGAGAAGGCTGAGATCAACTTCCAGGCTGTATTTGGAGTATTGGGAAAGTCCCATTTCATCGGCTGCCCATCATTTTTCAGAGGGGCCACACTTCTCTTTCTTCTAGTACCTATAAATACCTTCATGGAAACTTTTCTAATGTGAGTTAAGTTAGTACTTTTATCATTCATCTCGAAATTGAATTCTATTCACATCATAGAAGTACTGTGGTGCTGTTACCTGCCGATGAGCAGTTAAGCGGGGAAGGAGAAGCCCAAAGGCCTTTATAGCACATCTACAGGAGAAGATGGAAAATTGCTTATATTAGTTTGCCAGGTCTCCAAAAACAAAGTACCACAGAGCGGGTGACTTAAACTACAGAAATACATTTTCTGAATATTCTGAAGGCTAGAAGTTCAAGGCCAAGTGGAGGCAAGATTAATTTCTTCTGAGGCCTCGCTCCTTGGCTTGTAGATGGCTGTCTTCTCACTGTACTTTCAAGTGACCTTCCCTCTGAGTCATTTGTGCTGTATCTTTCTCTTTGTATAAGGATGCCAGTCAAATGGGATTAGGACCTACTCTAATTACCTTATTTTAATTTAATTAGCTCTTAAAGGTCCTATCTCCAAATACAGTCATATTCTAAGATATGAGGGTTAGGCCTTCAACATAAAAATTCACAGGGCACAGTCCAGCGCATAATATTGCCCATTGTAGAAATGCATTAAGAAACTCCAGGGAAAGAAACCAGCAACCAATTTATTTCAACAGTTTTATATCTGGCTGTGGGGTAAAGCACATTTGACTTTTTCCTTCCAGAAGTATTATTTGAAAGTAGAGTGTGGCCGCTTTATGGAATTATCATACACTTTGGTTGCAAATAATTTATACTTACAGTGCACCATTACATGGCCTACAGCAAATAATATTTGTGTGATTCAACTCAGAAATCTCTTTGTTCTTTACATTAAAAGGCTTGTATTTTTTCAGTGTGTAGAATTTATTGTGTGCAGTTTTCACTAGATGTAAAAAATTAAAAAAAGAAAAGAAAAGACAATTCCCGATCTAGAATGTGTAAGTCATTTTTTTTAACTAGAGTCTTAGTCCTACTTTTAACTTAGTCTTAGTCCTAAAGATGTTAACTTTCCTCATAATAACAATAAAGAACATACGGTTTATAATGATATTAAAGAATCTTGTTTAAGCTTGAGACGTATCATGGTAAACCCTCTTCCCCTCCTCCCTTTAGGGAAAACTGACCTTTGTTTTCTGCACTGATTCTCAACTAGGAGCAATTTTGCCTTCCTGGGAACATTCTGAGGCATTTTTGTTTTTCACAACTGAAGGAGGGGAGAGGTTACTGTCCTTTAGTGATTAGAGGCCAGGGATGCTGCTAAGCATTCCACAATGCACAGTATAACACCCTCCACAACTCTCCAACAGATAATTATTCAGCATCAAATGGCGATAGTGCAGAGGTTGAGAGGCTCCGTCTACTAGTACTGTCTCTTACCACTCAGGTCATCGCGGCAGT